GTCCTTAACTTTTGAACATGATACTCAAAGTTAAGGACAGACAGTCCTTAAGTTTTGAACTTTGAACTCAAAGTTAAGGACAAAGTGTCCTGAACTTTTAAACTTGTAAGTCTAAGTTTAGGACCAAGTGTCCTTAGCTTTTGAACCTGTAATTCAAATTTAAGGACTGCCTGTCCTTAATTTTTCAACTTGAAAGGCTAAGTTCAGGACTAACTTCTAACTTTGATATTTTCAAAATTTTCAGGGGACAAACTGATATATATATGTTGATGATAATGGGGTGAGAAAGAATCCATACAAATTGTATCATCAAAAAATCAGTAGCAAAATGTTCTTCCTTGAGCTTTCAGATAGCAGCTTTGTACTTGATGATAAGGTTAGATAATTCGCTAGGCATTTATTTTCTTTATTCTTAATTTATTATTTTTTAATTATTTTATGACTGATGGATTTATTTTATTTTTTGCCTTTTTATGAAGCATATTGACATTGCCCTATATTATCTGAGAAAGAAGGAATGCTACCACCCTCGCGACCATCCTTTTCATTGCACAACTACTGATATTCTTTTTGATAACTATATGGTGCTTGTATATAAAGATTTCAGTGAAGATGCTAGTGATGACTTTTGGTGTGCTAGTGATAATCAGTTGTTTCTGACACCATATGTGGGGGAGGGGACAGCCCTAGATGTGGAATTGCTTGGACAGAGCTTGACAAAATCTTTTTTCCATGTCGTCTTCCTTCATAAGATGATAATGTTGTGACACACTTTCTTTTGGGGGTATTAGACTTGAATCAGAAAAAGATCGATGTATACGATTCCATGTATAGTGAGCCATATGAGGCAGGAATGAATCACATGGAAATGTATGCACGCATGATCCCCCACTTGCTAAAGTTCTCACAGTTTGACAAACATCACAAGTCGTTTGGAAATGCCTTCAACAAATTTGATATTCAGTGGCAAAGATCACCACACCAAACTGGATCGTACGTGTTGTTATTTGTTATATTATTTATATGTAATTTAGATTTTTTGTTTAATTCACTGCATATCTTACATTTTTCTTAGGACTGATTGTGGTGCATTCCTGATCAAATATGTGGAGATGCTGATGATGTGGAGAAATTCCAACCTGAAGACATAAAAGACTTTTGAAAAGAACTTGCCGCAAATCTTTGGGCACATGGTGAGTGGAAAAGAAATTCTGGTTATGATACACCACCAGAAAATGTTGGCGATGATTATGAGAGTGATAATGAAACTTGCTGTCCAAAGGAGTTGTAGTTTAGTTGTAAAGAAAGTTAGTTGTGGTTGATCTTTTGTATAAAATTGCTGTAAAGGATACATATGAATTCTGCAAGTTCAGAAAACTTCTGAAATATTCTGTAAATTCCTCAAAAGGCACTTATATTTTGTTTGCGTAGCATAATTTTTTGTCACAGCTATGCAAAATTACAATTTCAGAAGTAATATCAAGGCATCATGTTATTAATTTCTTTGTTTCTCTCAAGTGTTGATTTGTCCATTGAGTTTGTTATTATTAGTTCATGACTAAGTGTAATTGAACTTCAAATTCAAAGTTAAGGACCAAGTGTTGTTAACTTTTGAACTTTGAACATAAAGTTAAGGACTGTCTGTCCTGAACTTTTGAACGTGTAATTCAAACTTAAGGACTGCATGTCCTTAACTTTTGAACCTGCATGTCAAACTTAAGGACTCATGTCCTTAACTTTTGTAAAGTTAAGGGCAGACAGTCCTTAACCTTTGAACTTTGAACTCAAAGTTAAGGACTGCATGTCCTTAACTTTTAAACGTGTAATTCAAACTTAAGGACTGTCTGTCCATAACTTTTTAACCTACAAGTCAAACTTAAGGACTCATGTACTTAACTTTTGAACTTGAAACTCAAAGTTAAGGACAGACAGTCCTTGACTTTTGAACTTGAAACTCAAAGATAAGGACAGACAGTCCTTAAGTTTTGAACTTTGAACTATAAGTTAAGGACTGCCTGTCCTTAACTTTTGAACTTGAAACTCAAAGTTAAGGACAAACAGTCCTTAAGTTTTGAACTTGAAACTCAAAGTTAAGGACTGCCTGTCCTTAACTTTTGAACCTGCAAGTCAAACTTACGGACTCTTGTCCTTAACTTTTAATCTTTGAACTCAAAAGAAACAAAAAGAAGGTAAGCAGAAATGAATTTTAAAAATTCAGACATCTGCTCAAATAAGAATAATCAAAATGAATCCAATTTATAGCAAAAACATAAAAGAGTCGATAAACATAAGTGGATATATCCACTATTCTCTATGCTTTCTTGAAAATGGATGGACTGCCGGAGAATATATACAAGTTGTTCTATTATGACCAATTCTTCTGCAACGACCACATTTGAATGTTATTTTTGAGGACTCGGTAGCTGGAATATGCCTTTTCTTCTGCCTTCTACCTGGTGGCACTTTGAAATCTGGAGGTTTAACAATTTGTGACTTAACACTCTCTGGTACAATCCAAGAATCAGTATGTCCTACAGGATGTATTTGTCTTTCATATGTTTTCAGCCAAGATTCCTTTAAGTACCAGTGCGAACAAAAGTTGGACTTCTTGATGTTTCTCTTCTCGATAGCTGCAATTGCATGTATTCATGGTAATTCATCAAATTGAAACTGAAAACAATCACATGTTCTTTTGTTTAAGTCCACCAAGAAAGTTATACCTTCTTCTTCAACTCTAGAACGCCATGAATCAACAGGGAAGACCTTTAATGTTGAAAAATTATAAGTTAGTACATTATTTTAAATTATATTAAAATCATAAGCTAAACATAGAATATAATACTTACATTCAAAGTAAATGCTAAATCTATTTTCTTCTTCAATTCCTCCTCTACCCAACAAGAAACATCATAAAAAGTTCCTTCTGCTTCATTTCTTCTTTCATAAAACCAACGTTGTAGCTTCACTTGAATGAAATCCATCATTCTTAATATAGGCAGCTCTCTTGCTTCTAATAGGACAAAATTCATTGACTCAACTATGTTTGTTGTGAGCATGTCATATCTTCGTCGTGGACTACAAGAACGTGCCCACCTTTTCGGTGGTTCTTCCATCAAGTAGTCATAAGTCTTCTTATCTATTTTTGCTATATCTGACATGTATAGATCAAATCTTTGCGCCTGTATACTCTTGCAGCACTTTGGAAAAGTTTTATGAGCTTACTTTTCACCTTCCTTCGCTTTAGGTTCTGCTCCAAATAATAGATGTAAATCCCATGATGGCTTTCAAGATATACCTTTGCAATGCCATATGCAATAGCTTGATGCCTGTCTGATAAAAAAATTAAATTCTCACGGCTCCCAATTGCATTGCGAAGCTGACTAAAGTACCACTCATAGGAATTGTTATTTTCATATTCAGCTATTCCAAAGGCTAGTGGGAAAATTTGATTATTTGCATCCTTTGAAACTGAAATCATTAAAACACCACAAAATTTTGACTTCAAAAAAGTTGCATCAACAGCAATCGCTGGTCTACAATGATTCCAACCAGATATTGATGATCCATATGCATAAAACATATAAAGAAACCTGAAAATACAATATAAAACAAGGTTAACAGAAGTTTAGGACAGGTAGTCCTGAACTTCAGATTACAAGGTTAAAAGTTAAGGACAATCAGTCCTTAACATAGAGTTTCAAGTTATAAAGTTAAGGACATGCAGTCCTTAACTTTGAGTTCAAAGTTCAAAACTTAAGGACAGGCAGTCCGTAACATTGAATTACAAGTTCAAAAGTTAAGGACAGCTAGTCCTGACTGGTTACAACTCAAAAGTTAACTGGTTAAAGACAGCATGTCCTAAATTTTATAAAACGTACTAATAAACATTTTTTTATTGTTTACCTGTTGTTGTCATCTATCTTTATATTAGTATAAGTTCCCGGGTTTTTACTTGTCATCATATCTCTTCGGGAGTTCCTCTTATTAAAGCGGAAGCAAGTTGAATAGCACGCCACGCCTTGTGATATCCAATGCCTAGTCCATGCAATTTTTGCATCTCTACCATGACAAAAGCTGGTGTAACTTCAAACCTTGGGTCTCGAAGATTGTCGATAATGTAACCACTAATCAACTTTGAAGTTGCATGCCTTTGATCAGCTTTCATAGTGTTAACAGAGCAGTCATGCTTTTTCTATCTCTTTACTATCTTGAACAGTGTTGAATTTTTAATTCTGAAAGCACGGACACACCAACCACACCTATCATCATTGCATTTCAACGAATATCTTGCTGAGCTTGATCTAACAACCTTGAATTCAAAATGTCCTTTAATTGCTATATTCGAAAAACAGTTAATTATACTCTTCTTTTTGTCAAATACTGATCCCACTTTTATATCATCCAACGAATCATTTTCTCTTAATATCGTAGTTGGGGATTCTTTTTGTTTCAAATTTGATCTTCGTCTAGTTAGTTAAGTAGAGATTTTTTCAGCAACTTCTTCGATTACCGGTGCACTCTCTAAGACTTGAATACCCAAAGCTTGTTCGTTGTCAATCTCTATAATGCTTTGTCCTTCTACTTGAATAGAATCAAATGTTTGAAGCACCTCTTCAGTTATTGGATGAGCTTCAACCATATCTATTTCCATTATCTGTTGGCATTTGTTTTGATTGTCATGTCGAGTTTCTCTGTTGACATGTGTTTGAAGCACCTCTTCAGTCATTGCTTGAGCTTCAATCATATCTATTTCCATTATTTGTTGGCATTTGTTTTGATTGTCATGTTGAGTTTCTGTGTTGACATGTTCGTTGCTTGTTGATCCAAAAACTCTTTCCGAAATATCAACAATAAAACGACAGCCCTTGAAGAGTGAATGAGTTTTTAGTAACTTTATACATGTGTGAAGATCTAAATCTTTGGATACAAGCATTCCCTTGCTTGTTCCAAGGTTTATATCAAACCATATCACTGCTTCAAACTTGTGTCTATCCAATTCAATAACTTCAAAGATCTGTTTAATGAAATCTTCAAACCGAATTGCCTCAGGTACTAGAACAAGCTTTGTTTGATGATCAAGATATTTATAGTCTTCAGTCTATCTACCATTAAAAGCAACTATAATGCATATTGTTTCCATCCTGCAAGTCAAGAGAATGGGAAACTCAGGACATATTTTATAATGCAGACCTTGTATAATTAAGAACAGGTACTGTAAGTTCAAGACCAAGTTAAGGACCAAGTGTCCTTAACATTTGAACTTGGAATTCAAAGTTAAGGACTGCTTGTCCTTAACTTTTGAACCTGTAATTCAAACTTAAGGACTGTCTGTCCTTAACTTTTGAACCTGCAAGTCAAACTTAACTACTTAAGGACTCCTGTCCTTAACTTTTGAACTTGAAACTTGAAGTTAAGGACTACCTGTCCTTAACTTTTTAACTTATAACTATAAGTTAAGGAACAACTCTCCTTAAATATTGAACATGTAAGTCAAAGTTCAGGACCAAGTGTCCTGAACTTTTCAACTTGAAACTCAAAGTTCAGAACCAAGTGTCCTTAACTTTTTCAAAACAATTTGTAAAACTATGACAGTATATGCTTAATATACAGAAGACAGCAACAAAGTTAAGGACATTGTGTCCTTAACTTTTTCAATTCAATTTGCAAAATCATGACACTATGTCCTTAATATTATGTGCTCAATTTTTATAGAATTATCACAGGACGCGATGTCCTTAACTTTATCCATCCAGAAATTCAAAAAAAAATCAAATATCTACTTACTGTATAAAAATCAATAGAAATCGAAAAAAGTATAACTATGTCGAAATAAAAATCAATAGAAACACATAAAAGTATAACTTACGGTAAATCTATATCGATTTTTGGATGAGAATGTTGAATTCTATAGTTTGAATTGGAAGAGAATCTTCTGCAATTTCGACGATCACAGTGTGGTAATATAGCGCTGCTGTTGCTGCTGCTGATCGTTATTCATAGCGTAGGTATAAGTTATAGCAGAAGGTTATTTTCGTCCAGTCAGGTATAAGTTTACTAAACCAGTGGCTAAAGACTAAAGACATTTAAAACACTGGCTTTAAAATAAAGACAAGTGTTGTTAGTGGCTATTTGTGCACATCGCCCTATTTTAATCCAGAAGGAAGGATCCACCGAGTTATGGGCCAGGGTGAGTAATTCAATTGTGGGATGGATTTTTTAGGGCTCATTTGTTTTTTTTAATATTAATACGTCTGAATCTCAATACATATCTGAACATCAAGTGTGTATTAAGATTAAGACATCTGAATCTGAATACACATCTGAATATATTAAGATTTAAGATCTGAATAGAAATAATTAAGACTATTTGATTTTTAACATCTGAATATATAAAATTTATCTTTATTTGAAAATTAATAAACATAAAGTTCAAATGAAATACTAACTAATTAAATATTCTATTAATAAAATATATAGTTTTTTAAAATATGATAGTTGTTGGTGGTGATGGCTAACGGGTGAATGCCGACTAAAGGCAGTGGTTGGTGGTAGTTGTAGTTGATGATGGTGGTTCATGCTAGTAGCTAGTATTGATCGGTAGTGGTGGCAATTATGATTGAGGAAGGTGGTGGTGGGTGGTGATAGTTAATAATGTCGAGTGATGGTAGTAGTTGTGATTAAGGAAGGTGGTGGGTGGGTGGTGGTAGGTTATAATGATGGGCAGTGCTGGTTGTGGTTGTTGATAGTGATGGGGTGGTCAGTTGTGGTAGTTGAGGCGGATGAGTGTTGAATTTGGGTGAGAATGATGGTGGTTGGAGTGGTGGGGATAATAGGTGGTGATGGTCGATAATGGAGGCTATGATTGAGGATGGTGGTGGCGTGGTGGGGATGGTGGTTGAGTATGGTGGTGGTGGTGGCATGGTGGTAGTTGATAATGGTAGGCGGTGGCGGCAGTTAATAATGAATATGCGATAGCATCTTAATGAAATTAAGTCTCTATTAGAGATCTTAATCATACAGACCTATTCAGACCCATTAAGTGGTTGTGAAGTAAAAAAACAAACACACTTAATGATTAAGATCTGAATAATTACGATTCAGACTTTAAAAACAAACACACTTAATGTCTGAGATGTGAATAATTAAGATTCAGACTTCCATTAAGTCCAAACAAACGAGGCCTTAGTCGGAGTATGCCACATGACCCATTCCATAAAAGGAGGGGCAAATGTAGAAGTTTGGCAGACAATACAAACTAATATAGCCAAAAGGTAGAACAGGGGACACACTTATACGATAAAACAAAGTAGAGGGCTATATCTAATCCCTTTTCATATTAAAAATAGAGTACAACTTAAAAAATATGGTACAAATAGAGTACGATGTAATTTCTACGGGCAGCTGCAACTGAAGTAGTAATTTCTAGTATGACATTTTAAGACACAATGTGCTGAAGTAGTAATAGCTTTTTCAATTTTTTTCTTGTGATGCAGCCAGTTGTCTAAGCATTGATTTTTCGTGTACTCGCTAGCATAAAAATTCGATTCAAACTTTCCTATTTTATAATATTATAGATACATATAGATAAATTCAATAATATGTTCTTAATGGCGTGGTAATTGTAAAATATATTAAGAGTGATATTTCGGCGGAAAAGTATGGAAAAGCAAATTCAGAATGACAAAGATAAAAGTAAAAGGGGGTTGGAATATTCAAGACAAGAATATTACATGCAATGCAATCATTACAAATATTATTTTAGTTATACAATTTTTTCTGAAAAATCATTACAAAAATATAAAAGATAAATAATTAAAAAAAACACAAAAAAATCTTTACAGGGACCATTTTTTCTAATCATTGCAAGTGGTCACAGACTCACATGTGTTCATTTTTTCTTATTTTAGCTGGTATTGTGTTGATGACATTGAATTAATTTATTTTTTGTCAATAATCATTTAATATCAGCTAATTTGCACGTGCCTATTAGCTCTAACTCACCCTACCAACCTAATGCAGAGAGCTATATGCAACACCAATTTTTTCATTCAGCTAATCTCCATGTATAAAAGGAAAAATGTCTTCAGATCTTCTCCATATCAAATTAAAGGGTGAGAGTGACAAAAAATGGCAGAATTGTTCATTAAGCAGGCGCAACTATATTCTAAGGGTCGACCAAGTTACCCTGAAGAATTGTTCAGTTTCATTTCTTCAAAGACACCTTGTCATAACCTTGCTTGGGATGTTGGCACTGGTAATGGCCAGGCTGCTAAATCTGTAAGCCACTCTTCTTATTCCCAACCGTAAACAAGAAGGATATATATTAAGACTGTAATCACACACGATGAGCGTCTGCATCAACAATTCTCTCATATTATCATATCTAAACATAAATTAAACTAGCATTTCCTAGTGTCGTAGCATCTTTTTTTTTTTTGCTCCAAACATTTGGTATTGTTCTAATTGCTCCAAAATTATTGTTTAATTTCCTCAGTTGGCTAAGCTTTACAAGAGAGTAGTTGCCACAGACACAAGTCCTAAGCAGTTGCAATATGCAACCAGGTTACCTAATGTTCGATACGTTTGTACCTCTCCCAAGATGTCAGTGGCTGAAGTCGAAAGCAAAATAGGAGCCGAGTCAAGTGTAGATTTGATAACAATTGCTGCAGCACTGCATTGGTTTGATCTCCCAACTTTCTACCAACAAGTGAAATGGGTGCTCAAGAAACCAAATGGAGTAATCGCCGCCTGGTCCTACACTACGCCACAAGTAAACAGCTCAGTGGATGCAGTTTTTGATCAATTTTACTATAATGATGCTGGACCTTACTGGGAATCTCCGAGAAAGTTAGTGGATGAAAAGTACAAAACCATTGATTTCCCATTTGAGCCTGTGGATGGTTGTGGTCACAGTGGACCGTTCCAGTTCAAGATTGAGAAAGCCACAGATTTGGATTCTTATTTCACATACTTGAAGTCATTGTCAGCTTATCAAACAGCAAAGGACAAGGGTGTTGAGCTCTTAACTGATGCCATTGTTGACAAATTCAATAGTGCTTGGAATGAAGACAGAGAAAGCAAGAAAATTGTAGTTTTCCCAATTTACTTAAGGATTGGCAAAGTTGGGACTTTGAATTGAAATTGAATTGAAATTGGTTATAATGTTTTGCCCGCTTACCTAGCTCTGCCAATTAACGTATTAATTGATTTACTTGCCTAATTAGGGTTTGAAATTGTGCTTCCCCTTAAAAACTAATATTTCCTAATAGGATTTTTACCCGTTCTTTCCTTATGTGTGATTAATAATCGGTGCTACCTCCCTTAATTCCTCTACTGGTCTGATTTATGTGTTTTGATTGATTTTTAGACTTACCACTATTTGGACCTCAATCTTGTCTGCTAATTCACTCCGTGTGAGATTTTCCTTAATTTAAAGGATACTTACTTAATTCTGCTTATTAATTAATTCATGTTAGCCCTAATTGACTGATTAACTTATCTCTTTGCCGTATTTGTGTGCAATTGATTTCCTACCTTATTCGTTTGGTCTATTGTATGCTATAAAAGCCTTTCATTGTCCTGACACACAAACACAAGGAGAAAGATACAGAAACACACTCAAACTCTTATTCACGCACACTCTCCATTGTAATTCTTTCTGTTACTTGTGCTTGCTGCACTGTCTAGCCGGCTGAAAGCCAAGGCTAGGCTATTGGATTCAACTTGCCTTCATCTTCCTGTTTGTTATCTCTTAACTGGTACGCCCCTATTTCTGTTACCATAATCTCTTCTATGTGCTATGTGTCTCATTATACTTTTGCTTTGATACTTGCCTTTTAGCCATCTCTTTCTCAACAACTATTCTTCAGTTCCTATTCTCTATGTCTTATATGATTAGCTCACTCTGAACTTCAACATGTGCATGTTTATTATATGCTTCTTGCTTATTTTAACCAGTATGCTTTAGTCTTGTTACCTCTCTGTCCCATGTGGTTGTGTGGTTAACATACTTCTGTTGTGCCCTATGTTTCTCTTAATTAGCCTGACGTAGGTCCTGTCCTGTTCTATGTGATAGCATGTTCCTGTTTGATCCATGACACTTATTTACCCATTTCTCAACTAGCATGCCCCAATTCCTGTCCTGTTTTATATGCTGATAGTCTGCCTTATCATGTTCCCGATCAACTCATGGTTTCTGTTTACTTCTTTCAAGAATAATATGCTTTAGATTATCATCATCTTTTCTGTATGGATGTCTAATTAGCCAGTTGACTTAAGCATGTTTCAATCTGTTAAATACATGTCTATATGATTCCATTTGGGTAATAGTTAATAGACTAAATCAGTTCTTGCAATGTGAAACCTTGTTTGTGACTACCTTGTTTGTGACTCTATTCTGTCTATGAATCCAGTATTCCTGTTTTGCTTAACTACCGGTAATTAGGTTTAAATCAATCTTTTGAAGCATGGTCTTGTTCTGTTGGTAACCTATTTTTTTATTCACTTCTGAAAATAAACTATTTTCATGAAAATATCCCCCACCCTTGTGTACTGTTTTCCAACTCTTACTCTTAGTTAACTAGGGTCCTGCCACCCCCAGTGTGAGCACTACTTAGGGTCCATGAGACTCCTCTGAACTCTGACACATTGGGGCTGGTTGTTCAATCCTTTGTGAATCTTGTTGAACGTCTGATTCTGGTGTAAGCATTGCCCGGGGTCCCTGATGCCCTTGGAAACTTTGACACACCAGGAACCAGCTTTATGTGTTATGGATGGGCTACCATTATGCTCAGAGGTGCTATGTTGGAAGGCTTGGTCCCAGATTAATGTTGGGCCTATGAAGGCTCCCTATAGTATAGTGATTTTCATTATGTAACTCATTCATATTGGCATGTAATAATAATCTTTGTAAAAACAGATATTGGGGTTATTAGTAAAGCTGGGAGGGATTATTATATATCTTTGTTGGGATCGGGTAGAAATCATGCCTATAGGGTTGTTGTGATTATGCATATGCATTAGAAATCATGCATATAGGGTTGCTGTGACGACTGTCTACTTATATGCATTAGAAACCATGCCTATAGGACTTATCTCACTCTTTAAAATCTTGAATTTTCATGCTTTGCATCACTAGAAATTCTGTCTCTAAGGCGTTTCTCAATCCTGTATCAAAATTCATGTTCACGCATATCAGTTGATACCCAATTTTTCCCTATGTATTTTTCAGTGTGCAAAATAACTTTAAAATGGCATATGTATGCATATATGAGTATATCCAAGTGTTTCATTATTTTTCCTTAATTTTAAAGATTTTTAAATCAATTTATTCCCCTATTTTATCCATAAAAATCCAATAATAATTTCTAAAATTATCACTTTTGGTGATTGACTTGTTGAACTTTTATATTTATGCTAAAATATAGCCAAGATGATTTTTGCATACTTTTACAAATTTTACTTAGTATTTTTAAAGCTAAATTGCACAATTGCAATATTAGCCTCTTTTAGGATTTAATTACGTTTAAATTTATAATAATAACTCCAGTATTTTTAAATAGTTAATTATATTTTATAAATCATTTTAACGCTTTCAATTTATTTCCAGAAATCAATTTATTACTTTTTATAAATTAAATAGGGAAAATTGGCTATTTAAATAATGGCCCATTTTCATTTCAATTATAACCTAAAATCTGACTCCAATTGAACCCAATTAAACCCCGACCCAATCCCAATTAAACCAACCCAGACCCGGATCCCCACCTACCCTTTCTAATCTCGACCGTTGATCTACCAAATCAACGGTCCACGTTATTTCTTGCCTTTTTAACCCAACGACCCCCCAAAACCCTACCACATTCATTCATTTGCACCGCCCCTGAATCCCTCATCTCCCAAAATCTCTCTACAACACCACCCAAATCCTAGCCACCGCCACCCTAATCCATGGCCTTCCAGGGTCATCTGAGACCTGTACCAGCCTTCCATGGCTTCTATGTGTTTGGTTCTGTGGTCTCATGACTAGTTTTTGAAGGAATTTGGTCCAGTCCTTGCTCGGTGGCCTTTCTCCGATCATCCCTGACCTTTCTCCGGCCAGCCATGGCCATTCGAGTCAGATCCTTGACTCTCCTGGCTAGATCGGTAACTTTCAAGGCCTTTATCATTGCTTTTGGATTTTCTAAAACCCTAATCTCTAAGACTTTTTCGATTTCTTTCAGATCTACCTTAGATCTGTGCTTGCCATGAACTTTTTAAGTGCTTCTCGAAGTTTCTTTGACCTTTCTTTCAAAATGACTCTTCACTTTCCGATTAGGGTTTTCCTTCAAGTATTTCTTTTCAAAATCTCCTCTCTGATTTTAACATGTTTCTGATTTTGCTATGTTATGTTCATGTTGTTCTCCTATCTGAGTTAGCATGTTGAAAACCCTAATTTCTTTTGGGTTCATTCGAGTTATGAAACTGTTCGTTAGATGTGTACCCATCTGTTTGCTAGTACTTGTTTGATTTGTTTGTTTATTATCATTTAAAATCGATTGCTGTTGAAGCCCTAGGTCTTTGGGGTCTGAAATCGCTTGTTTGAGTACTTGACTCGACTAAAGCTTTGTTTTAAAACTCTCTTTTCTCTATGTGACTTATTTGACTTTGGCTGAAACCCTAACTTTTTAAAAAGGGTTCCTCACCTGCTATTTTCGAAACCCTTGCATGTCTCTAAGGCTATGTTTTCTTCTCTATTGATTCAATGTGATTTGACCTACTTGATTACTATGCTTCGAATGCTTGCTTTACTACTGAAACCTAGCCTACTTCTGCTACTACTGCCCGTTTGTGATTTTGTCCATGAGTTTGGCCTCGCATGTCTGATGACCTTGTTCACTTTATTTATATGCTGAAGTTTCTTCCTTGATTGATCTTCATCTTGTGACTAATTTCAAAGCTCTCCTTTTATGAACCCTGATTTTACTCGCCCGTTCAAAATTGATTGATTCTTTTCCATTTGTTGTAATATTTACCTTGCTGAATCTATTCCCAAAATAAGTATATTATTGTACTTAGACTCGATTGCTTACTTAATGTTTTTTACTACTTCTTTTATGGCAATAATCAGGCTGTCTCTAAATTGATTCCCTTCCTTATTTGAATTTGTTAAACAGTGATTCCTTAATTAAAGGAAATCACTTGTATGATTGATTCTGACTGGAGATTATTTCTATATTTGTATTAAAACTTGACTTATTACCTTCCTTCACTCGTTTTCAAAAGGCTATAAATACCTTGCACCCCTCTTCTTTCAAAGACAACGAACACAAGGAACGAAACACTTGAGTTTAGAATACACACTTCACTCAAAACTCTCTCTCTATTTTCTCTGTTACTACTTGTGTTGCTGCCTTGTCTAGCCGGCTGAAAGCCAAGGCTAGGCTGTGGAAATTTGCTTACGTTTCTTTCTGCATTTGCTTCTTTACTGCTATGTTCTAATTAATCTTCCAGCACCAACAACAATATGGTTCTTTACTATCTCCTTCACTCTTGCCAATTTCCTGCTTGTGTTTAATCAAGTTCCTTTTTTGAGCATGCTGTAATCTGCCCCTTTCTCTTCTGAATTAATGTTTTCTTATGTATGAACTCTGTCAGTCACTTATTATGACTTATGAATCCCAAACCCCCATATCCCCTATGTGTTTGTATTCCTTGGTTGGTTTGGGGGCATGTCAGCATTAGACATTGCTGTGCATAACCCAAACCTGACCTTCCTTGGGGTCATAACCTTCATATCCCCTCTATGTGTTGTATTCTCTAGCTGGTTCATGGGTATGCCAGCACCATCTATTGATGTGCATGTCCAAACCTGACCCTTCCTAGGGTCATATGCTCCCTGCAATGTATTCCCAAACCCTTGGCCCCTTTGAATGAAAATGCTGATTGTTAGCTTTACTACTATTGTTTTTTTACCCTTACCCCTCTTTATTCTCCACTCAGTTTTAAATCTCTGTTTCTGCACTTCCACTATACTCTTAGACTTAGGTTCTGCCCCTCTTGTGTGAGCCTTGCCTTGGGACCCAGGAGCTCCCTCTGAACTTGGACACATAAGGGCTGGCCCTTCCACACTACACTCATCTCTATCTGGTTATGCAAACTTGGGTGT